ACACTAATTTAATACTCGAAAGCACATTTAGTGCTATATATGACAACTTTGAGCACCGGCCAGCCGAGGGAGTGGAATGTGACGGAAAACATTTGTTCTTGAAGACCTCATGAACTGAAAAACACCATGAAATGGTAGTTCGTAGATGGTCAAGGCAGCAGGCTTTGGTATTGAAGCTATACAAACCAAGACTTGAAGAAAAATCAAAAAGGAAGAGACTGAATGTTTTCTTGATTTCCTCAGATCTGAAATTCAGGGCGTTTGGGTGATTTTATGGAGAAAACGATGATGGATTAGGGTAGAAGGGAAGATGGGGGTTACGGAGTGAATGTTTGGGGAGGCTTGGGGTGGTGCCGCCGGCCGGTGAGGGTGAGGAGTTTGAAGGCTGCTAGGGTTAAGTTAAGGGTGATAGAGATGTAGAATGAAATGAATTTTAGGGGTTAGGGGGATTAGGTCCGACACTTTTAAGGGGTAAGGGTAATTAGTTGTGGACCGTTAGATCAAAATAAAGGAGGGCTGAGATTAGTTTAGTTCAAACGCCATCGTTTTGGGCTGGGGGAAGGCTAGACCGGATCTTTAGGGAGGTCTGGGCTTGGGTGGAGGAGAGTGAATTGGGCCATGGAGAGCTTTTGGCCCAATTTCAGGAACATGACCAAACATTTCTTTTAATTCCCTTTCTTTGTTCTTTCTTCTTTTCTTTTTCTTTTGATTTTTTTTAAAAATTCTAATTGAATTAAAATCCTAAACAAACTAAATAAAAATCCTAAATTAATCTATTTTGTAAAATTATCCTTAACTTATTTTCACTAATTTAAACGCTAATTAACTTAAAACTAAAGCTATTGCAAGTTCAAACTAAAAGCTAATTAATCTATTTTCACTAATCCTAAATTACTTACTTTAATTTTTATTTAATAAAATACTTAATTAATGTAATTAAATTCTAAATGCACATAAGATCTAAAATGCTATGCAATGAAGAATTAAATATTTTTGATATTTTTCATGACTTTAAAATATTAAACGTGCACAAAAATGCAACTAAATGCAAACAATTAACAAAAAGTTCCTAAAAAATTCTATAAAAAATTAAAAACAATTAGGAAAAAATATATTTATTGATTTTTGTAGGAGTATTTTCGGTTAGGAAAAAATTACGTGCTCACAGCTTCCCCTCTTTGCTCGAGAACATGAAGCGTTTTCAGGCAAAGATAAAGTGAGCAATTATGAGCAATATTTGCCCGTTGGAAACTCCATGGGAAACACTTTAAAAAGTTTGATCGAACCTTGCTTTGGAGGTTGCCTACATATCCTTGGCTATAAAGGAATCGGGTCAGTGTAGTTTTGGAAATTTCGGTAGCTGGGACTACCGAAAAAGCTGTGATTTAATTGTTGTTGCTGCTTGCTGAACTCGTTATTACACCAAAATGAAAATGAAAAAGACTAACTAAGCCTATCAGCTGCGAGTTACAAGATTCCTGTCTATGGGTCTTCTGAAGCTTGATCTTGAGTCTTGGCTGGTTCTTCACGCAGACTCTGATCTGAATCTTGATGCTTGATAGCTGTAGGTGCTAGTTCATCCTTTTTCGGCTTTTTCGGATCAAGACGGGACATGCAAAGCTTGTGACTTCAGACATGTTTTGAGCAGTCCCAATCTTTCTACTTCTGCACTTTGGATTCACTTCTTTTCTTTTTCTTTTCTTTATATTGGATTGAGACTTCTTCTTTTGGTCATCTCGAACCCTGTGCCTCGAGGTATAACCTTCTCAGGCACCAAAACAAACGAACGAACGAAATTTTTCTGCCCTAGTTTTCACTAGGAAAATTTCGTGAGTTATTTTTAATAAAACTCTATACTACATTATTGAAAGCAAATAAAAGGTCGGGATTGTGTACCCTTGAAAAAATAGAGATTAGGGAGTGGAGACCCTATACCTAAAAATAAAAGCAACTAGGGAGTGGGAGACCCTATGTTGGAAAAACGACCAGGGAGTGGAGACCCTATGTCTAAAAATCATCAACTAGGGAGTGGAGACCCTGTGTTGGAAAAACGACTAGGGAGTGGAGACCCTATATCTAAAAATCATCAACTAGGGAGTGGAGACCATATGTCTAAAAATCATCAATTAGGGAGTGGAGACCCTATGTTGGAAAAGCGACTAGGAAGTGGAGACCCTATGTCTAAAAATCATCAACTAGGGAGTGGAGACCCTATGTTGGAAAAGCGACTAGGGAGTGGAGACCCTATGTCTAAAAATCATCGAATAGGGAGTGGAGACCATATGTTGGAAAAGCGACTAGGGAGTGGAGACCCTGTGTTGGAAAAGCGACTAGGGAGTGAAGACCCTATGTTGGAAAAACGACTAGGGAGTGGAGACCTTATGTCTAAAAATCGTCAACTAGGGAATGGAGACCCTATGTTGAAAAAGAGATTATGGAGTGGAGACCCTATGTTTAAAAATCATCAACTAGGGAGTGGAGACCCTATGTCTAAGAATCATCAACTAAGGAGTGGAGACCCTATGTTGGAAAAACGACTAGGGAGTGGAGACCTTATGTCTAAAAATTACCAACTAGGGAGTGGAGACCCTATGATGGAAAAGCAACTAGGGAGTTGAGACCCTATGTCTAAAAATCATCAACTAGGGAGTGGAGACCCTATGTCTAAAAGTCATCAACTAGGGAGTGGAGACCCTACGATGGAAAAGTGACTAGGAAGTGGAGACCCTATGTTTAAAAATCATCAACTAGGGAGTGAAGACTCTATGTTGGAAAAGCGACTAGGGAGTGGAGACCCTATGTCTAAAAATCATCAACTAGGGAGTGGAGACCCTATGTTGGAAAAGCGACTAGGGAGTGGAACCTATGTCTAAAAATCATCAACTAGGGAGTTGAGACCCTATGTTGAAAAATGCAGCTAGGGATTGGAGATCTTATACTACCATGATTCTGAACTTTTTCTTCCTTTTTTTTTTATCATTTTAATCATCATTTTTTTTTTTCTTTTTTTTAATTTATTTCAGATAATGAGTAAATGCGGGAAAGAATTTTGGAGGAGACTTCCCTTTTTGGAGTTGTTGCTGCAAAGCTGTTTCTAGCCCTTGCGTAGTTTCTTTTTGGTTGTACCTGCTTCTTGCAAGGTTGCTTTTGTATTGCACCTGTTTCCTATTTTTTCAAACAAAGAACAATTTGTTAATCTGAAGCGGTGGTTGGTTTTGTGGCCTTGAATGTTTCGGTCACTTGATCTCGGCACTTTCAACTGCAACTGGTTATTTCCTAAATATCGATTGCATTTCTGACCCTGGAGAACCTCTAACTTTTCCGGACTTTTCCATGACGATTAGTCACGTGGGACTTAACCTTTCAACTTTATTTTGCCTTTGTGGGTATTTGACTTTGATTTCCTTCTCACGAGTTTTGATTTTGAAACATCGGCCATCATGGCCAATCGGAGTCGACTCAATGCACCTGTTGAGGATGAGTGCCTTCTTGAATATTGGCTCGTATCAGACAAAAACCCTGTAAATCAATCTTGCCATCCTTTCTTTGTCTTAGTTTCAGAACAGAACCGAAAGGTATTCAAAGAAAAGCAAACAATGAAATGGACAAATGAACTTAGATGAGAGGTATCCCTTTCGGGGAAAGGAAGGAAGGGCTTATCTGGAGTGCATGCGGACTTCAATGAACATGACATGGCTCTTGGACTGGATGCATGATCTGAGTAAATTGTCCAACTCTAAGAAATTCATCATAACTTATACCTCAAAATTGAGAAACCTTGCCAGGACTCTGTCGATGCCGATGGTTGTGAGGATCCCTTTTTCGATCAGTGGCGCCCTTTGTGGGTTTTCACCAGCTGACCTCTCTCATTTCTCTTCTCACCATCGCCTTATAGTGCTCTTTGCGAGTTTTCACTAACAAGACTCTCTCATTTTCAATTTCTCTACTTACCATCGCCTTACGGTGCTCGTGAGAGATTTCACTGATAAGACTCTCTCATTTTATTTCTCTCATTTTGTTGTATCAGATCCAAGTAACTGTATCTTCCAATTTGAACCTCTTTGCCGATCAATCAGAAGGACTTGAAAAGGATTTTGGGTTAAATTAATTTGGATTGAATTATAACTTTGGAACCTTTTAGGCGAAACCCTCGCCGAAACATTATAACTACTGCCCCAGTTTCAACTTTTGGGGAATGTGGATTTTTGTTTTGGTATGATTGAACCCAGAGAGAGGCTACCTGTATCCTTTCGGAATCAAGTCGAACGTAGCTCAAAGAACTTTTGTTTTTGGTTTCTTTTGGGTTTTTTAATGATAACTTACAGATTCCGAAGAGGATAACTAAAGAAAGGGAAATGACTCAAAGGGTTTGCAAGGGTTAGTAGTGTTTGGGTAGCGAGAATTAAAGTCTTCGTCATCCCAACCGGAGAGTATTAAAGTTGCATAAAGAGGTCAAACATAATACCTTTTGATCGCATATGCATTGCAGCTGCTTCGGGGTCATTTCCCTTGATATCACCCAAATACAACGCTCCCCTTGACAACACTTTTCTTATAATGTACGGACCTTTCCAATTTGGAGCAAATTTTCCTTTTGCTTCCTCATGATGTGGGAGAATACGTCTCAGAACGAGTTTCCCCACTTTGAATTTCTTGGGCCGCACTTTCTTGTTGTAGGCATGGGCCATTCTTTGTAGGTACAACCACCCATGGCAAGCTGCTGTCATCCCCTTTTCATCAATCATAATTAATTGTTCCAACCGGTTCTTGACCCATTTGCCATCCTCGATCTCAGCTTCAACAATGATTCGAAGAGAGGAAATCGCAACTTCTGTTGGTATTACGGCTTCAGTGCCATAAACCAATAAATAGGCGTGGCCCTAACTGATGTGCGCACGGTTGTGCAATATCCCAATAATGCAAAAGGTAGCTTTTCATGCCACTGTCTAGAACTTTGAATCATTTCTCTGAGGATCTTCTTCATATTCTTATTTACAGCTTCAACAGCGCCGGCTATAAGGGGTAGAGTTAGGATGCGTAATCTTAAATTGTTCGCATACCTCCCTCATCAAGTGGCTGTTCAGATTTGCAGCATTATCTGTAATGATAGCTTTAGGAATACCAAAACGACAAATAATGTTGGAATGCACGAAGTCCACCACCGCTTTCTTGGTGATGGCTTTGAAAGTGACTGCTTCAACCCACTTTGTGAAATAATCAATGGCAACCAAGATGAATTTGTACTCATTTGAAGCTTTCGGTTCGATTGGCCCAATGACATCTATACCCCAGGCAGCGAATGGCTAAGGTGCTGACATAGGATGCAACTCTGAAGGCGGTGCATGAATCAGGTCACCGTGAATCTGACACTGATGGCACTTCCAAACAAAACTGAAGCAATCCTTTCCCATGGTCATCCAGTAATAACCTGCCCGAAGGATTTTCTTTGCAAGGACATATCCAATCATGTGAGGCCCACATACCCCTGGAATGCACTTTGTTCATGATCTTTTCAGCTTCTAGGGCATCTACACACCTCAAAAGATTCAGATATGGAGTTCTTTTATACAAGACTTCTCCGCTGAAGAAGAAACCGCAAGCAAGCTTTCTAATGGTTTTCTTTTGGTCTCCACTAGCCTGCTCGGGATATTCCTTTGTTATCAAAAACCATTTGATATCATGATACCATGGCTGAACATCTGGTTTGATTTCAATTGTATTACAATAACCATGCCGTTCTCGAATTTGGATTTCCAGCGGGTCAATATGGACCTTGCCCGGATACGGCAGCATTGAGGCTAAAGTAGCTAGTGCATCAGCTAACTCATTATGGAATCAAGGAATATACCTGAATTCGACGGATTTGAACCATTTGCTAAGATCTTCCACATATTGCCTTTATGGAATAAGCTTGATATCTCGGGTTTCCCATTCACCCTGGGCTTGCCGAATGATCAAATCAGAATCTCCCATGATTAATAATTCTTCCGCATCCAGATCAACTGCCATGTTCATGCCCATGATGCAAGCTTCATACTCGGAAGTGTTGTTCGTACAGAAGAACCGAAGTCGGGATATGGCTGAATAGTGTTGACCAATGGGCGAAATCAAAATTGCCCCAATCCCGACACCTTTTGCATTTATAACTCCATCAAAGAACATTTTCCAAGCATTGGTGTCTTCTGGAATTACTTCAACTGAATTTACTTCCTCTTCCGGAAAGTATGTACTTAGGGGTTGGTATTTATCATCAATCGGGTTCTCAGCTAGATGATCCGCCAAGGCTTGAGCTTTCATCGCCGCGCGGGTGACATAGACAATGTCAAACTCAGTGAGCAGGATTTTCCATTTTGCTAACCTTCCTGTGGGCATTGGGTTTTGGAATATGTACTTCAGAGGATCCATTCTGGTTATGAGATATGTGGTGTAGGCCAAAAGATAATGTCTAAGCTTTTGGGCGACCTAAGTTAGGGCGCAACAAGTTCTTTCCAACAAAGTGTACTTGGCTTCATAACTAGTGAACTTCTTGCTCAGATAGTATATGGCTTGTTCTCTCTTCCCGGTCACATCATGTTGCCCTAGGACACAGTCGAAAGAATTTTCCAGGACGGTCAGGTACAAGAACAAAGGTCTTCCTCGCTCGGGTGGAACCAATACTAGCAGATTCGACAGATATTCTTTTATTTTATCAAAAGCTTCTTGACACTCATCTGTCCATTTGATCACCGCATCTTTCTTTAACAGTTTGAATATGGGCTCGCAAGTGGTAGTGATCTGAGCAATGAATCTGCTTATGTAATTCAATCTTCCTAGCAGACTCATGACCTCTTTCTTGGTTCTCGGAGGTGGCAAATTCCGGATAGACTTTATCTTTGTTGGATCTAACTGGATACCCCTCAGGCTGACTATAAACGCCAGAAGCTTTCTAGATGGAAAATGCACATTTAGCTGGGTTTAGTTTTAAATCATACTTGCGCAGACGCTCAAAGAACTTTCTCAAATCCTGCACATGGTCTTCCTTCATTCTGGATTTAATGATCATATCTACACCTCAATTTCCTGGTGCATCATGTCATGGAAGATGGCAGTCATAGCTCTCATGTAGGTTGCCTTGGCATTTTTCAAACCAAATGGCATGACCCTGTAACAGTAAGTGCCCCATGGTGTGGTGAAAGCCGTCTTTTCTGCGTCTTCTTCATCCATCAGAACCTGGTGGTACCCAGCATAACAATCCATGAAAGATTATATCTCATGTTTGGCACAGTTGTCAACAAGAATGTGGATGTTTGGTAATGGAAAGTTATCCATCAGAACCTGGTGGTACCCAACATAACAATCCATGAAAGATTGTATCTCATGTTTGGCACAGTTGTCAACAAGAATGTGGATGTTTGGCAGTGGAAAGTTATCCTGGGGCTTGACTTGTTCAAATCTTGATAATCAGCGCACACTCGGGTTTTCCCATCTTTCTTTGGCACTAGGACTATATTAGCCAACCTTGTGGTGTATCGGACCACTCGGATCACACTAGCTTTCAATTGCTTGGTGACTTCTTCTTTGATCTTATCACTGATGTTCATTTTGAACTTTCTTTGCTTTTGCTGGATAGGTGGATAAGTCGGCAATCATGTACTACCAAATCAACACTCAGTACTGGCATATCATCATAAGACCATGCAAACACGTCTTTGAACTCAAACAAAAGTTGGATCAATGCATCTCTAGTTCTTTTATCGGTGTGAATGCTTATCATGGTTTCCCGAACCTCTTGTGTACTACCCAAATTAACTGGCTTGGTTTCATTTAAGTTTGGCTTAGGCTTATTCTCAAATTGTTCCAATTCTCGATTTATTTCCCTAAAAGCCTCATCTTCATCATATTCCGGTTCTTGATTCATTATTTTACATTAGACAGTGTTTTAGGATCTGGGCATGAAGTCCGCAAGCATGTCATGTTATTTAAGTCCGTATTATTAGAACTGAAAAGAAAAAGATAAGAAAAAAAGAAAAATCAGAATAAAGAAAAAGGAGACATCCATTGACGGTGAAATATTGATTTCATTTCATTGAATTGAAGATAAAAGGGTTTACATCGAAATCAAAAGACAACAAAGTAAAATATTCGAGTTACACCCTGAAATAACTCGTAATATAGAAAAGATGGCAAGACTGGACTACCAGGATTCTCGCCTGATAGGGAATGGGTAGCTTTCCAATTCTGAAGCTTGGCATTTGGTCCCATGTACAACACCTCAGCAGTGCTCGTGCCTTCCCCCGGCTGGACCATGTGGGATTCATACAACATCTATTTTATGGCTTCACAAATATCCTCAATCTCTTCGGCCGTGAAGGCCTCTTCTTCCTCTTCTTCTACATACTTGGGTTTAACAAATGACTTGGCGAGATGCGGAACGGGCTGGGGCAGGACCCATCCATTTTTCTTGCGGTCATCAGCCCATCTTATATCAGTATTTGTATCTTGGAAACCTACGCCGAAGAACTTCTTATTGGCGGTCGAAGTGATAGGCTCTGTGATGCCTTGTAGAGATACCCCGAGCCCTTTTCCGGGCTTGTACCCATGTTTAATCATTTCACTAGAAACCATGAAAGATGCATTAGATAAGCAAGGTTGAGGGAACGGGGCCCCTTCTTCGCATTGGTCAGCGACCACAATTTCGAAGGCTTGATAGACAATGTGCTCACTTCCCTCTCTAGCTTCGAGACATAGGACTGAAGGATCCCTGTAAATGGACTGTTCATCCTCCCCATGGACAACAAATTCTTGGTTTTCGTGTTAAAACTTGACCATTTGGTGGAGAGTGGAAGGCACAGCCGTTGCAGCACGGGGCCAATGGTCAAAATCAAATCTATTTCCCCTATTGTATCTCGCTTGACGCCATCAAAAAAGCGCACACAGACATTGTTTGGTCGAATTCTTTATATTCTAATTCCATCCTCTGGAGCATTGAGAGAGGGCAAATGTCGACCCCGGACCCACCATCTAGCATGACCCTCTTCACATAATAACCTTAGCATTTGACTGTTAAGTGAAGGGCTTTGTTGTGGGCGGCTCCCTCTGGGGCAAGTCATCGCGGCTGAATGAAATCCTGTTGACTTCGAAGAATCGTTCAGCCATTCTCTCCAATTGTTCGACTGAAGTTTCAAACAGGACATATGCCTCGTTCAATGTTTTCAAGAGTACCTTCTGATGTTCATTTGAGCTCAACAGCAGGGATAAAAGCGAAACCTGGGAAGGAGTCTTCCTGAGTTGATCAATTATGGCATATTCCGAAGTTTTCATTTTTCGGAAAAACTCTTCTGCTTCCTCGGCGCTCACAGGCTTCTTGGGTGGAAACCGTTTATCCTTGTTCAGTTTTAGCTTCTTTAGCTCTTCTGGGTTGTGGTACTTCCCAGATTGGTTCATTTTGTTCACCTCTCCCATAATCTCCTTCCCCTTGTAAGTAGCTACTGTTATGTTATAATTCCAGGGGACTGTTGTGGGGTTTCTAATAGGGCTCTGTGGTGCGCGGCTGATAACCATGGGCTCAGTCAGCCTTGGTGGAATTTCCGGCTCCCTCTCCACATAAGTCCCTCTTAGCACATACAACTTTGGCATATTCAGCGTGGATTTTCTTTACTCAAATCTTTTGGGAGTATTCAACATGAGCTTTTCTTTCCTTGAGGCCCTAGGAACATAGAGAATTGCGTCCTTAGCAGGCGCTGCCCCAGTTTTTGTTTCTACAGCTTTTACTATGACTTGAGGAATTGGAGTGATTTTCTTCTCATTTCTGGCTTGTTTCGCTGCCGCTTTAAGTCTTGCCTCTGAATTGGCAATGGCGATGATAGATTTCAATGCTGGATCAAACTCTTTATCATCACAAATCATTCCAATGACCGACCCATTGTTGTGAGCCGGTAATGGATTATTAGTCACATTGGAGACTTCCTCGTCCCTCAGCACAACTCGTTTTTGTTTTATCAAATTCTCAACTGCCCTCTTGAGAGTCCAACAATCCTCCGTATCATGAGCCTCTGCCCCAAAATGATAGGCACACCTAGTACCGAGCCGATATAATGGAAATCCCAAATTTTGCGGGTTTGGAGGCACAGGTTGCAATAGACCCATCTAGATTAATTTTGGAAATAGGCTAGAGTAGAACTCACCAATAGGGATGAAGTCGTTTCTCCTGGGAGGCTCACGGGGCATGTATTATGTTGGTAATTGTTTTGTGGTGGACGGGGGTTATATGGAGCTTGGTGAGGATGGTTATTTCTAGGATGTGGAGCTCGGTTTTGTTGTAGTGCTGTTGTGGTCGTGTATAGGGTTGGGCATTCATCACCGCATAGGGGGCAGTGCCATGACATATGATACATCTTGATGAGGGTAGTAGTGTTGTGGGGTTCTAGGAGGTAGGTAGGAATGATCACATGATCGATGGGGGCCTCTCGAACCTGAAGCCATCATGGCTCCTTCTTCCCTCTTCTTTCGATTTTCTTAACCTCTTGAGCTGTTCAGGATGGCTTGGGAGGTGGATCTCAAAGCAGGTTGACTTATGATTTGACCAGTTTTCAGGCCATTTTCTACCATTTCTCCGATTTTTATAGCCTCTGCAAAAGGTTTGCCCATGGGAGACATCATGTTTTGAAAGTAATCGGCCTCTTGGGCCTGCAAGAAAACATTGACCATTTTTGTTTCATCCATAGGCGATTTCACTCTGGCTGCTTGCTCACGCCACTTGATAGCATATTCACGTAAGCTTTCCGCGGTTCTCTTCTTGAAATTGGTTAGGGAAT